TGATGGCATGGTTGCTAAGGGGGTCCTCCCTGCACCAGCTGGTACCAACTGTCCACTCCTTTCACTCTCTCTTCTCCATCCGTTCGTTCCTTTTTTTTCTCCTTTTCTTTTTTTTCTCTCTCTCTCTCTCTCTCACGGCGGTAATGAAATTGTTCAAAGACTATCAACCCTATATATACTTCACAAAAAATTTTAAATTTCACTCTTCTTCAGTCTAACTCTCATCATTTCATTCGATATTTCATTTTATATAAAACTTTAGGAAATGAATTCAGAACGGATAGACAAGAAATTTAAGCGTTGCATATTCTATGCACAAATAGTTCTTTTTTTTGAGATTGACAGGAAAATGTCACAATGAATTTCATAGTATGAGTGAGTAACAAACCAAAACGTATGGCATACATCAAATATGTCTCCGCAATTTCTGTCTCTGGTCATTTTGCATTGAGTGGAATAGTGCTGAAGATCGATTGCAGCCATTTTGACTACTTTATTTATTTATTTTTTATTTTTTTTTTTTTTTTGCGCAAGACAACAACAACAACAACAAGTAATTACTCCTGTGTTTACGTAATTAACAAATTGAAAATAAATTTTATGTCTTTCTGTAATATCAAGTACAGATGGTATTTCTCCTCGTTTAAATAAATCAATCTTTAATTGAACAAATATGTACATACGTGTTTTATGTGAGTAATTCAAAAAAATACGTGTTTCACGTGGGTAATTCAAAAAAAAACGTGTTTTACGTAGGTAATTCAAAAAGAAAAAAAACACAAATATGAACTGATACTTGATGATTTCAATGTTCTAAATGATAATTTTAACTGCATACAAAATTGACAAAGTATCTAAATTACTAAAAAATATGTGTACATTAACTGTTCCGCCAACACTGATAACACTGATAAGAGTTAACTGTAAAAGTGTTTACAGAATCATTACCTTACATGATATCCTGATTTAAATATTTAAAATATGACATGCAATAATAGTTGAAACATTATTCAACAAAAATAAAATACATTTTTTCTTTGTTTTAATCAACTTAAATGTCATCATTTTCGTTTTCAGTATTATTGTTTCATTTTTTAAATTAGACAAATAAAATTTTTTTAATTATATAAAAAAAATAAAAGAATAATGCAAAATATACGCACTGAACTAACTACATAAATACGTGAACTACGTAAATACGTGAACTACGTAAAAAAAGAAAAAAGCATAAGGACTACGTAAATACGTGAACTACGTAAAAAAAGAAAAAAGCATAAGGACTACGTAAATACGTGAACTACGTAAAAAAAGAAAAAAGCATAAGGATTGTTGTTTAAAATATAATAACATTTTCCCTTATAACAAAACATCCGGTTGTTTTTTTTTTTTTTTTTTTCGTTTTTTCAAATTTTTGCTTGCCATTTTTTTTTTTTTTTTTTTTTTTTGCAGTCAACTGTACAAATACTATTTCTCAAAAATTTATCATTTATTATTAAAGATTTTTTTGGACAAAACAAACCGATTAAAGAAAAAAAAAATAAACTTTCTTTCATGATAAAAGATTTTGTTATTATTCATCAAATTTTAATCGAAAAAAAAATGATTTTCTGCTTGAGCTACACAAATTCAAAATTATTATTCTCATAAATTTTTAAAATTTCATTTTCTAATTCCTTTTTCTGCCTCCGTTTTCATGATCCATGGTTTCTTTAAATTCTGAAATTAGTATTTCTGCACTGCTCTGAATCATGAAACATAGACTAAAGTTTGAAGTTTTAAATTGAAGTCTCAGAAAAAAAAAATATATTTATATAGGGTATATTTTTTGATATTAAGGAGTGAAAAATTGTGTTATTTATGAATTGAAAATAAATTGAAATAAAAGCAATGCATGGTTTTTTGTAAAAAGTTTTTTTATCAAATCTAATTAAATCATTTTTATTTGTTAGTAAAATCTGAAATTTCTTCGTCACCTTAACATAATTTAGTATTTCTATATTTATTTAAATTAAAAACTATTTGTTGCTATCAAATTTCAATTAGTGTTTCAGTCATAAATGCTAAAACGATAAATTCAATAAGTGAAAAATCTTTGGATGAAAATTAAAAGAAACGGTATGTGGTATGTTGTGATGTGCAGAAATGATGGATGATGATAGTTTGTTCATTTATTTCTGAGAGATGGGAAAAATTACGAGAGAGAGGGAGAGAGAGAGAGAGAGAGTGAAAAGTAAATTTATTTGAAAAAACCACAAAATGATAAATAGGCAATTGTTTCAGATTAGAAATAGTAGCAGTAATCATCAGTGATTGATCCTTAAATGTTAAAGTTAAAGATAAATGGAAGTACTAAGAGTATTTCCCTCTCTCTCCCTCTCTCTCTCTCTCTCTCTCTGTTAATTTTTCCCACCATCATTAATCTCTGTTTTAGAAATTAACTAAGATTACTTTTTGACCAACGGTAAGCATAAGCACAACTATTGATATCAAATATTAGCATTAGACTTTTATTGTTATTCCGATCAATAATTAAAAGCTTTTATTATGCTAATATTTCAATTAGTACCATATTATTAGCTAACAATACTAATTACTTTTGCAAATAGACATTCGAATAATTTTTAAGTAATTCAATTTGCAAAACAAATTTTTCTGTCAAATATTAGAGTAAAGCGGGAAAAAAGGCAAAAAAAAAAAAGTAATTTTGATTTGATTCAGTCGATTTGTTATCAATCTGACTAGCAATCAATTATATGTTCATCTGTTTCATTTGTCAAATTATATTAGAATGAAGTATGCCAATATGGGGACATTCAATATTGTGTCAACGAACACAATTGTCACATTGTCATCAGTTATTGGTGACGAGTAGACAGAAAGCATTCCTCATTTCTCTGTCACTCATGCCATTTTGTTATTAATCCCATTCTACATCACTATTTTCTTCATTTTTCTCAATACTTAATAGAATTTCTTTTTTTTTTTTCAAGCATTAATGTATTTTCGTTTCTATCATTTTAAATTCTGATCATTGCTTTAGAAAAAAAAAAAAAAAAGTGTGAAGAAAGTAATGTTTATTTTGCATTTGTGCTAATTTTTCTTTTTTTTTTTTTTTTCCTCTTCCATTTCTCATTTTAGATTTCAAATTTAGATCAGTTCAAAAACATTAAACACAGCTGTTTTGTTTACTACTAATTAATTACCTTGCTGTCTTATACTTTTTTTTTTTTACTAATGAAAGCACAAATATGTATTATTGATTATATACGAACATTGTTAAAATTAATGACCGTTGTTTCAGAATTAGTACGAAGTATAAATTATAAAATAGTCTCGAAAATTATTGCCTGCCATTACAAAGATGTATTATCCTTGCCTGTTCATTCAAATAATTTATATATTCTATTGATCAGTCCTTTCGAACGGTTAATTTTCAATTAATTTCAATCACTGACGAAGTATTGTTATTTACAAAGAATTTTTACTTCTCTTTTTTTTTTTTTTTTTTGAGAGAGAGAGAGAGGAAAACAAACAAATAAACTAGAAATACATGGATCTATGCTTTCAATAATTTGAACAGTTGTGTATTTGATAGTAATTTTCAGGTATTTCTTAATTATTTTGAAATATAATTGTTATGCAGTAAATAATGATAAGTAAGTGATTAAAAAGTTTTTTTTTCCTTTTTTTTTTTTTGAAAGCTAAAGCAATGTAATATTAGAAAAATTAAATTACTGAAATTGAAATGAAATTAAAAGTTTAGTCAACGTTGAATGACTTTAGAGACGTTGTTGCGGATATTGGAAAAAAAAAAAAAAAAACGAAACGACAAACTTTAATTACAATATGCTTTAACATCTTAAGTATAACTCTTCATTATTTTCAAGCTCTTTCATATTTTTTTTTTCATAGATATTAGCAATTTTTTTTTTGTCTCATTATGGATTATTGAATTATATTAAAATGAATGCATTTAACTACAAATAATAATAAAAAACAAACATGGAAAGTAAAATTTTAAGTTAAAATTTAACAACACAGCAAATCAAAAGTTTTAATAAATTTGTGATTTTTATTAATAGAATTAAAAATCACATTATTTATATGCATATAACATACAATTTTATTTATATATGTATATAAAGTAGTAGTAAGCTTAATTTCAAATACATTCAGAAATTTTTCTTTAACAAAAATATTCAAAATGTGATTACTGAACATTTCAAACTTTAGCAGCAACCGTGTGCTAATCAAATATGTCAACTTCGGAAAACTGTAAAGGATATTATTAATTATCACTTCGATGTTATATGATCCTATGCTACTGTTTGCCATTAACTATAATTAACAGAATTGAAGAAATAATTGATCCGGTTTCAGTGATCACAAGTCTGTCTGAAATTTACCATGCAAAAATTTGATGTAATTAGTTTAAAGGTTATTCGGTTATACCTTCTAATCAACCTGCCTTTTTTTTTTTTAAATAAAACTTTTCATTTTTCAATGATAGCTCGAACTGCTATAAAGCAGCTCATATTCTAACAAGTTAATGAAGTATGCGAGACAGATAGTAGTATTATTGACAGGTACAGGATGTCACGGAACGTTGCTGCATTGTTGTCATCATGGCAAATGAACACATTTGGTGAGAAGTTTACTATATCAGCTCAGCTAGTTTCAACGCGCTTAAATTCCTAAGCATTTCAAAATGATATTTGCTAGGAAAAAAAAAAAAAAAAAAATCAAAAATTGAATATATTAATTTATTTCAAATGATAATATAATGTTCATATGTATTAATTCACTGATCTAAAGCTAACTGATTTTAAATGAACTTTGATTTTCCGTTTCTCTTTCCGGTTTTTATTCCTTAATCAAATGTGACATTTTCAATAAGTGTTCCTCTTTCAACATCGAGTGGCTGACTATTGCATTATGTAACAACCTTGCAACTCTTTTCTCCACTCTTCGCCTCTTCTCTTCTCTCCTCATCAGATCAACTATGTACCTACTACCATTCTAGCATGACAGCAATGTGACAATGTCTCGCCAGCACAGCCACACTGATACCACACTCCCATGCCGGTGCCATTTGATTTCCAGACACTTGCAATCACCACCACATCGTCACCGTCACCGTCACCGTTCCGATCGTTTATACCGTTCGTATTTTGCTCCATTTCATCTAACTGACATAATATCCACTTTTCTTTTCTGAATATCTTATCTCATTTTTTAGAAAAATAAATTAGAAAAGTTTCATTAAGAATAGAATGTAAAGCTTTTTAAGCAGTAAAAATTCACTGAATGATTCTTCAAATTGTTCAATAATCAATAGTTGATCTTGCTATTAGATTAACAATCGAAGTTTTGATCACTTCCTTAGTTCAAATTTCCACAATTTTTATTATCTTTCATCACATAACTCATTTAATCAATATTTGCATTTTATTATTTCATCTAATTTTTATAATAATTTTAAAAGTTTTCGTAAATTACGGCTGATTATTGCTAGAATGCCTCTACTTACTTACTTATTGTGTATGTGTGTGTATGTATATGTATGTGTGTGTATGTATGTGTGTGTGTGTGTGGTATCGCAATAATGTAAATAATTCAGAATTTAATAATCCTTTATCTATATCCGGAATACATGAAAGAGAATCATCTACCTGGTGATTCAATCACTCAGAGATTCTAATTCAGAATTTAAAGTAAACATTTTTAATCAGTTTACTGCTATACATGCATGTTCTTTGCTTTTTTGTTTGTTTGTTCCATTTGTTGTATGAGAAATATTTTGCATTTCATTCATTTCTCAAACAATCTAATTAGTTTTCTCTTTTCATTTTTTTTTTTTTTTTTTTCATCCATCTAACATCTAACTATCGGTTAGTTAAAAATATTTGATATTTTATTATGAAATTTCATAATTACTGTGCTATTACTGACAATCTTTGATCTTAGTTATTATATACATCTTTGCAAATATCAAACCATTTTGTCCTGCGAAATTCTCATTTACTATTATATTCTTTCGATCTATTCTGAACAATTTCCCTCATTTAAAATGCCATTTTATTGTTCAATGAAAAATTCTAATCCAATGAATAATACAAACAATAATAATATATCACTGTTTCTTATCACTACTTTATAATCGTACTGGTGTTTGTCCAAACCAGTCATTTACAGGTTTCAATCCATTAATTAACAGTTAATATTTAGTATGGTCTATCCTAACATTTTGAAAGACATTTGGGTGTACTATACCACATCCAAGTACTTCTATCCATTTACTCTCTTTGTAACTTATGTCCACTTCTGTAGAAGGCTCAGTAAAAGGGAAAAATTGTCATACAAATGTCACTTATATGATCAAATAGAATTAAATTCTCTTCTAATCTCTCAAATCACACTAAAGAAAGACGTATAATGCTCTTGTTAGTTCTATTGCCATCAAAATTATCAATAAATTTCACATTTATTATTACTAATTTATAATCATCACTCTCTTCGCTTCGTATTTTCATATTATTATCTTTGTCATAATCATCAACTTATATTTCCATACGAGTCTGATTTCAATAAATTTATAGTCTATCAATTTAAAAATTAAAATCTAGAATTTAATTCTAGTTAACGATATTCTAATTTTCACTATGGTTATAATAATTCAAGTAGTCATTGTTAGGTAATGAATATCTTCAAACTGAAGTATAATTGAAAGAAGATTAAACGAATTCTAAAGGATTAATATTCTAAAGTACTTGATTTCATAAATTGGATTATCACAATGATAATAGTTGGTGGTACAGTATGTCACCCTTTTGGGGACTGTCCTACCGCCATTATCATCATCGCTACCCCCTTCCTTCACCCCCTCCTCTCTCCCTGCCTCCCATTACTACTCGAAGCGTACTGTACTCTCAAATCAAAACAAATTTAACACTGGTTTATGAATTTATGCTGTCACACTATGCCTGAAGATGAAATCCAACTTGATTTTACTTCTAATTCAATTAACTTCTCAAAAATTTTCTCAACGATCAACAAACTTTTGAGAAATAACTGATGGCTTGATTTTTCCTTCTTTTTTTAAAAGAAAATATCAGAACGTTTTCTTAAAGAAGTTTTGATGTATTATTTGTCAGAAAAACTTAACACTTTTTTTTTTTATTTATAAAAGTAAGTAATATAAATACTTGTAGTAGTGTTTCATCTTGTTTATCTTCCACGAAAGTTTTCACAAACAGTTTTCGCACTAATTTAACTGTTTAAGTATTAATATTTTAAAAAGAAGCACATTGACTCTTCTAAAAAAAAAAAAATCTGATATAATTTTTTGTTTGCTATCAATCAATTTGTTATATTTATTTATTCACATCTGAACTATATTGATATAGTTGCAAGTTATTTATACTTTTTAAATTTCAACAATCTCATGCTATAATTGTCTATGAAAAAAATAATCTATAAAAAAATAAAAAAAAAAAATTGACCGAAATTTCTTTGGCATCAAAAAGCCATTCTTCATTCTGCTGATGAATGGATAGCAATTAGAATGTATTCATTTTTCATTTCTTTGATTAACACTTTTGTTGTTGCTAAAAGTCATTTCCTAATTGCATAATACAAATTGTATTAGATTATTAGAGAATCTCTAAATTTTATTGATTTTATTTCAAAAAAAAAAAAAAAAAAGCAACAACGAAGTGTTAATTAAAATTAAAATTTATCAAATATACCAAATCGTTATTACAATGTAACAATTCGCAATTCGCAAAACACATAAAATTCTTTTAAAAGACTGTAAAATAATCAGTTAATATTATTTGCATAATTAGTTTCAGTTGTTGTCTTCAAACTGAAAGCTTTTTGACTTATACTTTTTTTTTTTTTTTTTTTTTTCATTTCAACAATTTGATATTCTCATTTTTAGGAAGCATAATAATATTATTTCTAAAAGAAGCACTTATTAAAGTGACAAATATTTTTTTTTTTCCCCTGCAATTTCAATATTTGATTTAAAAAAAAAAAAAGGAAGTGTGGGAATTATCAAACTATAAACAAGTTATTTTCGATACATAAAAAATGGGTCGGGGTCGTTGGATTAACGTTTGTTGAAATTTCCATCAGTTAAACTAGACTTCACATCCTCCGCCTTCTTGTTTATTCCTTGTTTATCATTTCGTATCATTCCTTCTTTACTGCTTTCATTTACAATTTCTACATTACAAATTGTTTCCCGAAACTTTAGATCATTCTACCCCCCCCCCCCTCCCCCCATTTTTTCATTTCGAATACCGCCTATTTCTTTCATTTCTTCATATATATTCATGTCAAATCTGCTCTAATCATGTCATATCATTGTCCACACGAATATAAATTAACTAAACTGCCAGTCCATATCTATCAATTTGTTTATTTATTTATTTATTTTTTCATCTTTCATGTTCCTCTTCGACTTTCATTTCTTTTTTTTTTTTTTAATTCATTAATTCGTTCAACAATAATTTGGTTTATTGAGCGCAAAACCCAAAAATCTGATTTTGTTTCCTTCGTCGTTTCATTCCTATACGAATTCTTACACTATGAAAATACCGTATGTATTTCAATTTTTTTTTTAACGCTTCAAATACACCTTAAAAAATTTGGAACTGTCATGATTGAACATCCGTTCGAGACAATTCAAAGAATTAAACCATCATTAACAAAACATCTTAACTTTAGATATTTTAGATACATATATATTTGAAATTTATTCTTTGTTCTGAAATATATGTACAACGAGTAACTGTTGATTAAAAGTTAGAAATGATTTAATTCTTTGAACAGAGAACTGAATGTATCAAATTACTCATTAAGCTGCCAAATGTAGACTTATTAAAATTATGCATAATTTGCAAATTTGTGATAGTTCCTGAAAACGTATGATATTTTAGCTTAAGCGACGATAAATAGATAATTTTCCATAAAAGATTTAGTAATATTTTCTTATTATATTTATTATTTCTTAGTTAAATTTTTACTAATTAAAAGGAATGAAAAAGATGAAATTTTGATTTGAATTAAATTTTAATTTTAGAAGAAAATTGGAAAATTAGAACTACAGTATCAAGATGAATTGCATTACTTTTTGCAGAGCCAATCAAAAGGCCACTTGCACTCTTGCAATCGTTTCTCTTACCTCTTACACACATCAATACTATAAAATATTGATGAATTTGATGAAATGTGTAATTTGCATAAAACTTAAAATTAAAACTGCAAATTTTCTTTTTTTTTTTTTTTGCAAATTATTCGTAATATTTGTGGATATAATTGTTTTTAATACTTAATAATTGTTTTTTTTTTTTTTTTTTGTTAAATTAAAATATGCAAAAAAAAAATTAATATACATAATGAAAGAGAGAGGGAGAGGGAGAGGGAGAGAGAGAGAAAAAAGTAGAGGAAATGATTTTCATTCCTTTAAAAAACAGAAATACTTAAATAGATTTTTGCTAAAAGTAAATTAACAGAACAGTTCATTGTTTAAATTATTAATTCATTAGTGTTATGAATGCAAATCAATGTTGCTAGAGGTAATTTTAATGAAATTTAAATATTATCATTCAATAACAGCGACACTTTTTTTCAAATGAATTAACTTTTTCTAAAAACTATACTGAATGACAAGTGAAAAAGGAAAAAAAAAATTGAGAATACCTTTTACTAATAATTTAAGTAAAAAAAAAAATGAAGGCAAACTTTAAAGAATTATTTACAAATTTTTTTTTCATTTACTTATTTAACTTTTCGTCCTTTTCTTTCTTTTTTTTTTTTTTTAAACATGTAAAAAAATGTTGTTTAGTTCTTTAAATTTTTCCACTTCAAGAAACAAATATTTCCATAACTCATTTCTATTCAACAAATAAATTGCCTCTAGCAGTTCATTTTTGACTTTTTTTTTTCTCTTACTTTTATTCCTTCAAATCACTATGCGAAATTTATATATTTTTTATATTTCATCATCTAATAGCTTTATTTTGATTACTTTAAATGATTTTTTTTTTCTTTTTTTGATTTCATAGAATTTTTTGTTGACATTTTAGTTTACATTAATTTTATTTCGAATTCCTACGAATATTAAGCTTTTAATGGCAAATGTTGAATTAAGCTTACGATCTTAAGCTGTAAT